CTATCGAAAAATGAGGTATAAAATGAGGCATAATGAGAGACTGATCAATACTATCCAAGCAGAAATAGCTTACAACTTTTTAAAATACTACTAAAATTGCCCCGAAAAAAAAAAAACTTTTGGCCATTTCTTGGCAATGAATAAAATGCATTTCAAAAGAAAAAGACATACTCTGGCGACCAGCTGAGCGATGAGATTTTGCTGAAATCTGGTCCGTTTGCCCAATACACCGGTGACTTCGATTTGAAGATCAATGGAGGCAAGAGCATTTTTGAAGCATTCTTCTGCTTTGCCTATTTTGTTGTAAGCAAAATTTGCATACATCCTCTCAAGCAGTGCTTCGGCAATGGTTTCGCTATCGACTGCACCGAACGATTGCAAATCATCCTGATAATTGCAAAATTAATTATTTAAAAGCAAAAACTGAACCCAAAAATTTCATATTCAGATGAAGTAAATTAAAGATTTTGTAACTTAGCTGCGCTATCGAGTTTTCAATTCGATTGGTTTCTGGCAAAAAAGGCTTAAAATGTCACAGTCCTTTGGTTTTCTAGCTTATCTACAAGCTTCTCCGCATGTGGTTTTTTCGTCCCTTTTCTTAAGATGTATTAGGAAATGTAATTGCAATAATATCTGTTGCAAAAGGAAGAAGGAGCGAGTAGCAAGGAGACGAAGATGGTGGCTAAACCCCCTTCGTCTCGCCCAGTTGCCCTTCGGTTCCCTGTGATATGGAAATGCTCCGTCTCTTGACTCGAATTTCCCTCCGTGATATTTAATGTGGTGACTAGAAATGAAATGAGAAATTGTTTTGTGGAATCAAAAAGTTTGTGGAATCAAAAGCCTGGAACTGCTGCCGCTTCTGGCCGGTAGCAACTCGGAGCTGCTGCTGACTAATTTCGGGGTTTGTTTTTTTTTGATTTGTTTTGCCGTTGTACTAATAAAAGGTGTTTTGGGCGTTTTTCCGCATCTGTCCAGCCTCCTCCTCATGATCGTTACACATAAGTAAAGGTAGAAAAAGTACCAATTCATCGAGAATCCTTTCCAACTGAATAGCCGGCTCTTTGAGCAAACATTGCCAGAGTA